CCCAGTGCCTGCCGCTCCCGGTCAGGAGAGTGACCCTGAAAAGTGAGTCCCCTAGAAGGACATCCCTGGATAGATCTTGATTCAAGAAAGTGCTTCAAAGCCATCCCAACTCGGCCTCCCTCGCAGCACGACAGCAAATGGTGACGGGCGGGCCCTGCCTCGCAGCCGTGGGTTCTGAGGCACATCTTCCTGGTGAGCACCATCCACACTCCTCGTCCCTTTCTGGTCACAGGGCACTTCTCAGAGTCTTAGGAGGAGGCCCTCAGTGTGGCTTTTCACTTCATTTCATTCCGTTTTGTTTGCGGAGCTGGGGGTGGAACCAGGGCCGGGTGCAGGGTGCTGCCACGGAGCTCCACCCAGCCCCCCCACCCCAGGCAGTTTTATTAGGGCAAAAATACTAAAGCCCTGGAGCCCCTCCTGGGCACAGGAGCCCACAGCCCTAGCTGCAGTAGGTCTGCCCAGCGTCCGACTGTGCCTGGGTGGTATGCCTGCTCCATTTCTTGTGCTTGGCTTCCTTCCTTTTGTACCAGATCCCTTTATTTGAAAGAACAGTATAAAATAAGAATGTGAGTGAGTATTTTGGCTCCACTATAGAAAAGGTGAGCTGGCCCCGGGGCTCACTCCCTGCCTCCTGGCCAGGGCCTGCACCCTGTGGCTGGAGCTGAGCCAGGCCTTGCTTCTCTAGGGAGGCTCTGCTGGGCGGGTCTGGGGCACCCATCCTGCCCAGGTGGCTTGCACGGTGGTGCTGCCCCTTCGGGTAGTGTCCCAGGCGGCCCTCGGGCTGCTTGGCACAGTGCCAGCAGGGGCTGACAGGCACTTCTCTGCTGGTGCAATGCACACTGTATGGCCTCGACCTGAGGACGTGGGGGAGGATTCGGACGCCCCTCGGTTAGCTGAGTTCTCTCTCCCGGGCTACGCCCTTGCAGTCCATGCAGTGAGATGGGGGTGGGACGGGAGACGGGGAGGGCAGAGCTTGGGTGCACCTGGCCTTTGAAGGTGGCCCCAGTCCTGATGGCGATTCTGGCAAGCTGCAGGGGAATGTGGTCACCCTGCAGGGCAGCTGAGGGAGCAGGGCGAAGGCCGTGGGGCGGCCAGGGGCACTATGAAGGGTGGCGTGGGGGTAGAACACCCTGAAAGCAGCAACTGAAGGTTCTTGAAGAATGTGTTGCTGTCTTCATGAGGAAAGAGCCTTGTTTATGTAGAACAGAATGGGGAGGAGCAGCCAAGGTGTTCACGGGAGCCCCTGCCGTGAGCAGCTGGCCCCTCTGGAGCCCACCTCCGCTGGCTGCAGACAGCTCTGGGAAGAGGCACCAGGTGCAGCTCCTCCCACCATCTGTTGACGGGGTCTGGCAGAGGTGATGGGAAGCCGGATGGATCTCACCTTCACAGTTGACCCAGATTCTGAGTACAGCCCAAGAGGGAAGCCAAAGTGCCCCTCTGCTGACTCTCAGGACCTGCGCACCAGGCCTTCCTCTCCTGGGATCAGCTGGCTCTGTTCAAGATGACGTTTCTGTTGCTTGCACCACCCACTCTGATTAACCTTCAACTTGACCTTGAATTTTGCCAAATAGGAGCTGATTCTTCCTCCACTAGCGGCACATACTTTCAAGGATTGCTTGGTAGAGAATTTTAAAGGAGAGTGTACAGTTGTGGGTCGAGAGCAGATCCCGGGTGCCACCCTCCGGGCTTTGGACCCCTTCCCCCCTCGCGTCTCCAGTTAGATGACAACATCCTCAAGGAGGAGTGCTTCAGGACTCTCTGGTGAACGCTGAGAGAGCGTCAGAAAACACAGCCAGAGTGCTCCTTGCTGACGATCAGAAGGAGTTATCAGTCGCAAGTGTCCTCTGAAGACTGTCACACCTTGCCACCCGCAGCATGGCCCTCAGGGAGCGCCCAGCAGGGAGGGGCAGAGCTCAGCAGGCCCCCACTGCTGTCCACGTGACCTCTCAACTGTGGGTGACGAGCACTCGCTCTTGGCAGTCCTCCTGCCTCTCAGAGCTCGGATGGGGAGCTGCTCTTACAAATGCCTGGCGTCGGCTCTCCCCTGTCAGTGGAGGCTGAACAAACCCTGTGGCACCGAAAATGATACTCAGCATTTTGAAAGTTCTTAAGACACACCTTCCTGCTAGCCACGCGTTGGGGTGCGTTTGTGAGGAGCCGGCTCACAGACAGGTGGGCCTACAGGTGGGCCCACAGGGGCCTCCCCACAGGCCCCAGGGGCAGAGCCTGCGTCTGCCTCGGCCGTCGCCAGTCACTGGTCACTGGTGGAGAGCAGCTGCTAAGCCACCGTCCCTGGCTTGCTTCCTCCTGGGTGCCATGCAGTGGCACCTCCAGCTGAGAGAGCTCGAGTGACGACGACGCTGTGCTGGGCACATGGTGCCCAGAGCCTGTGTCACACTGCATGGCCTGTGTTTGGGAAGGCACACACCCACCACCTCTTGGTGACAAGTGTCTCCCCACAGGTGCACTCCTCACCTGGGGTGTGTGTTGCTGTGATCAGAAGTAGGTATGATTTATAAGGTTTGCCAAACAATTTTTTAAAATGTTAAATGGCATTTGTGATACATTTCATCCATTCCCTAAATTTTGAGTTGACAAGTTTTGTGAAATAGAAAGTTTTTACAACAATACTATCATATGATGACTCGGCCTCCACAGAACCCCAGGTGGTGTGTTCCACATGAAGAGTCTACTCTGCAGGGGGGTGTCCTTCCACTAGGATGTCTTCATTAAATTAAAGGCTGCTTTCTGCTGTGATGACCCTGTTTCCCCATGCTGGCTGCAGCCCGTTTGCCAACCCAGCCAGCAGCCCAGGCCACACCCGCCCAGTCCACTCAGACACAGTCGAGTCTGCAGCTCCCTGGGTTGAACTTCCTTCAGGGAAGCCCAGTGCAGAGCCCTGGGGCCCAAGAGTAAAGTGGGGGTTGAACCCACAGGCGCTTAACCACGAGCCACGTCCCCAGTCTTTTTACGTCTTAGAGATAGGGTCTCCCTAAGTTGCTGAAGCCGGCCTGGATCTTGGGGTCCTCCTGGCTCAGCTGCCTCAGTTGCTGGGACTACAGGTGTGCACCACCACACCTGTAAGCTTTGACTTATTTTCATAAGTGATGAGTACAAAATACTGTGGCTTTCCAGGTGCAGTGGAGCCCACCTGTAATCCCTCAGCAAAGCTGAGCAGGAGGATCGTGAGTTCAAAGCCAGCCTCAGCAACTTAGCCCGGGCCTAAGAAACTTAGCTAGACCCTGTCTCAAAATAAAAAATAACTGGGCTGGGGATGTGACTCAGTGGTTAAGTGCCCCTGGGTTCAAACCCCAGCACCAAAACAATAAGTCATTAGTAGCATTTAGAGTTTTCTCTGAATTCTACGACCTCATTATGCCATTCTGTCCAATCAGGGGCAAGGATTGGGGGCACAGATCCTAGATGGTGCGGCTTAGGAAAGAGGAAAGGCATCTCCGCAGCACAGAGGTGACCGTGCTGCAGGGTGGCATGAGCACCGCTTCCATCTGACTCCAGGAGTGACAGAGAGCATCTCTGGAGCAGCAGTAGGCACCTGAGGTCACTGAGACTGTTGAGCATATTTAACTAAATGCATGATAAAAGCACATTCTGATAAGTTGGTCCTTAATGACTTCATATGGTGATAATGACTAGGCCTTGTCAGCGTTTCCTTGTGTGTAAATGTGTCTTGTGGAAGTCGCAGAGAGAAGTTCCAAGGACTCCTCGCAGCGGGCAAGCTCTTCCCACTGTCTGCGTTTGTCAATGGGAAGTGAGGCCTTCCTCCTGCACTGCGGCCCGCTGGGGGACTGGCCTCTCGGCCGGGGTGTGGCAGCCAGCGCACCTGCGCATGCTGCTGCTCTCCTCCAAGAAGCTGCCCTGCTCAGTCACATGTGCAGCGTTCAACAAAACATGTGCTGGCACTCGGTGACCGCCCTGGGCTCCAGCCACAGTGGAGGGCTGGCTTGGCAGCCAGCGTGGGTGGGGTGCAGGGGCCCGTCTCCAGCATCCTGCAAGCTGACCCACCCTCATAGTGAGGTGCCGTGGCAGTGCACCCCCTTGGAGGTGACACAGGTCTACCTTTGGTAACTTTAAAAAATATATATATATATATGTTTAGTTGTAGGTGGACACAATACCCTTATTTATTTTTTTTAATGTGGTGCTCCACTACTGAGCCACAAGCCAGCCCTACCTTTGGTGACTTCTAAACATCATGTAGATTTCTCCTATGAAACCTGCTTTAAATCGGTCTTCAATGGGGTGCAGTGGTGCACAACTGTAATCCCAGCGGCTCGGGAGGCTGAGGCAGGAGGATCACGAGTTCAAAGCCAGCCTCAGCAATGGCCATGTGCTAAGCAACTCAGTGAGACCCTGTCTCTAAATAAAATACAAAATAGGGCTGGGGACATGGCTCAGTGGCCAAGTGCCCCGAGTTCAATCCCTGATACCAAAAAAAAAAAAATCTTTAAAATTTGGCACCTAATTACTGATATTCCCGTAGGAAATAGTAGGAACAAACCTTTGAGAATTAAAACAAAAAGGAAATCTCTATTTTGCAGTGACTGATGAAGAGAGCCCCTCAGTGGTCTCCCTAGAACTGGGCTCAGGTTGAGCGTCTCTGGTGAAAAGCGCAGCTTGCAGCGGGTGGGGAGCTTTCCTTGCCTGTGGCGGGATGATCCTCAAAGTCTTCATGATGCAAACCCCAGAAGCTGGGCCCGTGCACAACCCCACTGGAGATGGTGGGCATGGTGATGCACTTGGCCCAGACTTGCCTGGGGGATGGTTCTGACTCTGGCCTGGGTGCTGACCTCCTGGGGAGACCCATCACAGTCCATCTCCAGAGCAGAGAGAGGCCCTGGGTCCACACCTCTCTCTGGGCCATCAGCCCTCTGCCCAGCCCCATCTCACTTCAGGACAGGCGTCCCCACTCTCTCCAGAAGGCCTCTCGCGCACGAGGGCCCAGCCTTCTCATCTCACTTCACCTGCCCCATTCATTCCAGGCCTTTCTGTGGACGGTGCTCAGCCTTCTTCCTCCAGCCAGAGGAGCCCCCCGAGCCTGCACCCCCTACTGCAGGTCACTCTGGGCCCAGCCGAGCAGGGCTTGGGCCCCCTCCTGAGCCCTGCCCTCAGTGAGGCTGCTGGAGCCCAGACACAGGACCAGGAGGAACCTCTGCACAAGGTAGGCTGGGGAGCTGCTGGACGGGGAGCTGCTGGACAGGGCTCTGCTGGATAGGGCTGGGAGCTGCCCGGGACTCTCCACGCTTTCTCATTCAACCACAGTTCTGGCTGCAGAGTCTCGGCTGCTAGGCGGGGCCGGGGAACTTGGCCTGACCTCCTCACCCTCCGGCCTCTCCCCTGCCCCTGCCCCCTCCTCCTGCCACCTTGATGGTGGAGTCACTGGGAGAAGACCTCGGCATGGTGGGGGCTGACTGGGGTCAGGCTGTTTTCGGAGGTGAGGCCTGGTGGGCAAGTGGGGGAGGGAATGTGGGCAGTGCAGTGGGCAGACTGAGGCTCACGGTGCCCGTGGGTATCTGCCGAGGGTGCACACTGGGTCTGCAGGAGACAGTGAGCAAGCAGAGGATGAGCAAGCAGAGGAGTTGTGAATCGTGGGCTGAGGAGGACTGTCAGTGGCCAGGGAGGCCTCCACTCTCCTGGCCTCCCCATCAGCTGGGGCAGTGTTGTGGGAGGCTGTCAGCTGGGCCCACCTAGGGCTGCAGTTTTGCAGGTGAGCACACCAGAAAGATCTAGGGACAAATGAGCTTAAAGCAGTGAGCTCCGGACGGTGCTGGCCCTGGGGGACAAGGGGTCCCCCAGGTGTAGTGGCTCATACCTGCCATCTTGCCGGCCCAAGGCCTCTGGGCTTTAAAAGGGCTGGGGATGCAGGGGCAGTGCCTGCACTTTCCAGGCGGGGGGCCTGAGGCTCCCCAGCAGTCAGACCACGGCAGGTGCCCATGCTGTCTGAGAGGCTACTGGATGTCCATGGACAGCTGGTGTGGGCAGTGAGGGGATTTCTTGTGGACAGCTTATCTATTGACTTTGGAATCTCAACAACATGTTTATTTCAATGTTTCTTTTGTTCAAAAACAAAAATGGCTTGGAGAAAATCTGTGTTTGAAACAGCTTTAGTTTGTCACTTACTGTGTCACAAAATGAGACTCTTCAGATTTGTAGGGTGATGATGTGTCATACCCCAGACGGTTGGGCCCACAGGCCTGGCCCTGAGAGAGGAGAAGCCCGTAGCCACCACAGGACAGGAGATGGGGCACAGGACCACCTCAGAGGGAGAGCCCTTGGCTTGGGCCTGCCGCGGCCACTTCTCCACCGGGACAGCAGGGTGCCCTTCCACATGTCTGGGTCTGCACAGCAAGGCCCATCTCCAGTGTGGGTGGCCCTTCCCTCACCACTGTCCCCCTTGCTGGCCTGCGGGGCCATGAGGTAGATGCAGCTCCCAGGTGTGCCTGCAGCTCCTGAAGGCCCTCTGTGCTGGTCCTGAGAAGCGGGGTCCCAGCAAGGCGCGTGGCCAAGGGGAGCCTGGCCCAGACTCCATGGGGACTCCCACAGGGCCAGCAGCTTCAGTGAACACAGGTCAGACATGTTCACAGAGTCCAGCCTGCTCAAGCCTCTGTGTGCACCTGCCTGCTCAGCTGTGTCAGGAGGCCCTGGCTGCCCAGTGCTGGCCTCCCGCCTTCCTGGTGGAGACTGGTGAGGACTGGCCCTTGGGGCTGGAGGCTGTGCGGTACCTCCTGTGGAGGCAGGTGGCAAGGCTCTGGGGGAACCATGCTTCCTGAGAGGCCCTCGCCCACCCACATGCCCCTGGCTGGGAGCCCGGCTGGCCTGTGGCTCGGGGGCAGACCCCTGTGGCTCTGGTGCTTTCTGCCCCTGATTGGGCTTCCATGGGTGGATGAGCCACAGGCCACCTACCCCTGGGCATCCCTGCAGTGGGGTGGCACTGGGGAGAGAAGCCCACCAGTGACTCTCCTCGGACTGCGTGGGCATCTCTGTCCCAGGGCCAGGAGCTGGGCTGGGGCTGGGAGTCAGGCTATTGCTTATGAACCATCGTCACCTCTGAGAGGTGTCCTGACACAGGACCTTCAGCTGTGGGGCGTCCACCCTTGGCATCCCTGTTGGGAAGGTGGGACCTCTTGGGAACAGAGCTGACCCCAGGGTCTGTAGCAGTCCAAGTGGTGATAGGACTTTTTAAAGAGATTTTACTGAATTTTAATTTGAATGAGTCAATTTTAATAGCACAAAAAACAAAGTGTGAAGATTGGGGGGGTTGGAGAGGAGGGCCAGCACCCCAGGAATGGCTGGGGCCTCCAGAGGGAAATGGCAGGACCAGGGCCACACCTGGCTACCAGGCACCTGGGAAGAGCTGAGAGGAGAGGACGGCAGGGAGGGCCCAGCTCTGCGGGCTGTGGTCTCCGCTCCCTGGGGTGCTGCACACCTGAGATGGACGCACCTGTCGCCTTCTGTCCCTGGGCTCTGAAGGCTGTCACGGCCGATCTTGGACTAGGCAGGTGCACAGAGGAGAAGACATGGCTCCGACCTCCTCTGGAGGACCTGGCTTCTGTGCTGCATCCTCTTGCTGCTCTGAAGCCACGTGGACCTCCCTCTATGGTCTGGTCTCTCCTTGGCTTAGGCCAAGGCCTGCTGTGCATCCCACCTGGGCTTGGTCCCCTCACTGGGCTGGTGCAGAGGCCCCCACAGCTCTGCCCTCTGTGCTGCTGGGCTCACACCTTGGGGCCCGAGTGCATTCCCAGCCCACCCAGAAGGCAGATGGCCTGCCTCCCCAGGAGCCCCTCGAATGGCACCTTCACGTCCCCCTCGGGCCTGCTCCGCGGGCTGGCCTGGAGTTGCCCCTTCCCTGCAGCTCAGGGTCTACCTGCTGGGCCTGCTGGTCTCCAGGCACCTTCTGCAGGGGCATGAGGTGCCCTCCTCATTGCCGGGTGCTGCTCCTCTCCTGTCTCCTCTTGGGGTGGCCAGCTCCTGGTGGGCAGGGACTTGAGGTACATCCCAGGTGCCTGACTGGAGGGGGCGAGGGGTGGTCCACCCAAGGAAGCCTGTGGTCAAGAGGAGCCGTGAGAACAGGCAGTGTGCAGGGCCAGCAGAGGCTGTCAGGTTGGGGGGGCCAGGATGGGACACGGCACCCCGAGGCCAGGTGTGCTGAGCAGGCCCGGGGCAGAGCCAGCATGCAGGAGGAGATGGCCGGGGGAGACCTGGAGCCCCTGGGCCACGTTCAGGCTGTAGAGCGTATTGCTTGGTTATTTCAGTGACTTTGTCTCTCACACCCTCATACACACTGATCGACACACCCACAGCTGTGCCCACCAGCTGCACCATGGCTCCAGCATGTCCACAGGAATCCCATCACAAACCGGAATGAGTCCCAGCTGTGAAGCTTACTGAGGCTTGAACAGCAATTCTTTTCTCCAAGAGAATAACACAAAATGAGAAACCATGTGAGGACATACCCCGGGGCCGAATTGTGCCTGTGGTGCTTGGAAGGGATTCCCTGCGAGAATCAAAGCCAACACCCATGACGGGGCTGAGAGAAGAAAGCAGGTGTCACAACCCTGGCCCCTGAAGTCAAAGGCTGGCCATCCCTCAGACACAGGCTCATGGCCGCCTCTGCTTCTTTCAGCTCATGCCAGAAGACGAGGCCTATTTCATAGCCAAGGAGATTCTTGCTACAGAACGGACGTATCTGAAGGATCTAGAAGTGCTCACTGTGGTATGCGCCTCCGTCCTTGTCACTGTGACTTTCTTAACCTCTTAAATCTAAACATACACAGAGGCTCCATCCTGAAAAACACCTCTTGACGACCCTGTGATGTGCACATGTGCTTTAAGACACATGTCACTGGGTGTGGTGGCCACTCCTGAACCCCAGTGACTCTGGAGGCTGAGGAGGGAGGATCACAACTTCAAGCCTAGTCTTGGCAACTTAATGTGACCCTGTCTCAATTTTTTTTTTCTTTTTGGTATTAGGGATTGAACTGAGGGGCACTTAACCTCTGAGCTATGTCCCAGACCCTTTTAGTTTTTGAGCCAGGGCCTCCCTAAGTTGCTGAAGCTGGCCTTGAACTTGCACTCCTGCTGTCTCAGCCTCCTGAGTCTCCGGGATCACAAACCTGCGCCACCACACCCACTTCAAAAGCTGGCACAGTCTGGGAGTGTGCGTGGTGCTGGAGCACTGGCCACGCACGTGTGAGCTCTGGCTCAGTCTGCAGTACTGAGGAAAGGTGGGAAGAGTCGCAGCCAAGCCCTGGGCCAGAGTTTGGGGAAGGCATCCTTTTGAACGTTGGCCCAGAATTGCTTTGATACTCTGAAAGCTGGATGCTCGGTGGAGAGGGCTGGAGCTGAGGCCAGCCTGAGGGCAGTGGTGGAACGCCGTGTTGGCGCCCATGGTGACGGGCCTCAGACCTGGCAGCAGCCCCGCCTCCTCCCACAGTGGTTCCGCAGTGCTGTGGCCAAGGAGGGTGCCATGCCCGCGGCCCTGATGACCCTGCTCTTCTCCAGCATCGACCCCGTCTACAAGTTCCACAGAGGCTTCCTGCGCGAGGTGGAGCACAGGCTGGCACTCTGGTAACAGTGCCTTGTGCCCGGCCCCCCATCTCCCGACTCCCGGGTCCTAGACCCTGGCACACCCTGGACCTTGGCCGTGGGCCCTGCAGGGGCCACGCCTACACCCTGAATTCTGCACCCCGTGGCCCATGCTCTGGTCACTACCACTGCCCTCAGACACTCCCCACTCAGGGACTTGTCCAAAGGGGCCGTCCCCCACTGAAGTGTGCGTGGACCCTGGGGGCGGGTAGTGTGCAGCCCTGCTCTCCTGCCACACTGTCCAGAGAACTCCAGGCGGGCGCCTCAGTGTCTGCCAGGCCCAGGCCCTTGGCCTCTCAGCCCCTGGCCATGCAGCCTGGCCTCCTCACAGGCCTCTGGCTGCTGACCCTCGCCTCTGCCCTCCAGGGAGGTTCCCCCCAGCACCCACACGCGAGGTGACCACCAGCGCATCGGAGACATCCTGCTTCCGGCCATGCGCCAGCTAAAGGTAGGCAGGCCTCCACGGAGACTCAGGCTGTCCCCCGGCAGTGCGGTGCCAGCCCGGAGCCTCTCCCCGGAAGGCTGCCTGCCACGCCCTCACCGCAGGCCCAGGACAGGGTGCCAGGATGGGCCTCCCCAGGGGTGCTCTTCCCGTCAGGGTCCTCTCAGACACTGTCCCCTGGTGTGCTTCCTCTAAGTGGGGCATTCAATGTAGAGCGCCCCTCAAGAGAGCCTTCTTCTGGGACAGGGTCCCCCGAGTGGCTTCTTCCACAGCAGGGTCCCCTTCAGGGACTCTCAGGACAGCATCCTCAGAAGGGTTCCCTCAAGCTCCGAAGTTCTGGGGCTACTGGCCCACCCCAGGGGAGTTCCTGGACCCGGGCCCCTCGGGGCACGAGCAGCTCTGACCCTCCCAAGGACAGGTCTCGTCTCAGGACACCCCCCCTTCAGAGCAGCTCCCACACTGTGTTCCTGGAGAACAGTGTCCAAGCTCCGGGAATAGCCATGGCAGACCCTGGGCAGTCCAGGGTGCCCCCAACACAGGCGTCAGCTTGGGCTCCACCCAGGGCTGGGACGCTGAAACCCTGCGAGGCTGAAGGCTGCCAGGCTCCTGTCTCAGGTGTCCTCCTGAGAGCGAGTGAGCTCCATCAGGGGAGGGGCTCCCCGGCCCTGTCCCTCCAGCTGCCCACCGTCACTGGTGGCTGAGGAGGCAGCACCACAGTCGGGCTCCCCTGGGCTCTCTGCAGCTGGGGCTCTGGCCACACCCGCACCTGGAGAGCCAGCACTGGCTACCTGAAGCCCTCCAGCCTGCCCATGGCCCTCCTGCCGGACACCCTGGTGGGCCTCTGTGCCAGGGTAACGGGAAGTTCTGTCCCTCAGCACTTGCATTAACTGGAAATTGAACTATGCACACATCTTGTAACCCAGTTCATTAGACCACTCAGGGTGTCCTTGTGTCCGTTGAAGCCCTCTAGAAGGAGGACTGGTCTAGTCTGACCTGTTGGTCTGTGTAGCAGTCACAACCTGTGTGCACTGGTGTGTTATTAAGACGCCAGGTATGGCTGGGCCCAGCGGTGGCGTACGCCTATGATCCCAGCAACGTGGAGGCTGAGGCAGGAGGATCACAAGTCTGGGCAACTTGGTGAGACTCTCGTCTCAGGAGGAGAGAAGCCTGGGGTGCAGCTCAGGGGGAGAGCCCTGGGTTCAGTCCTTAGTGCTGGGAGAAAGGAAAAAGGTAAGGCGTGGAGGGACACAGTGACGCCCGTCTGGGACCAGCTGCTGGGAGGCCGAGGCGTGGCACAGTGCATCTGTGCAGGGCTGGGGAGCAGCTCAGGGGGAGAGCGCCCCGGTTCACTGTCAGCCTGGAGAAAGAACACAACGCCCTCTCCAGCAGCTGAGCGGCTCCTCAGCCCCACTCTGGGACCTCCTGGGTGGGGCACTAGGGCCTGGTGGAGCTTGAGTGGGGTTTCCTGATCGCTGCCAGCACTCACCTGCTGTGCCCCGCAAGGTAAGTGCAGCCCTGCCATCCTCCACTGGCCACGGGAGGCATGTGGGCAGTGGGCCTGGGCATGGAGCAGCAGCGGGCACACTGTGGAGCAGCAGGTCAGGGTGGAGCGTGAAGGCGTGCAAAGGCCCTGTGGCTCTCCCCTGCACACTGCCCTTCTGTGTCTCCACAGGAGCTCACCAGCTACTTCCAAAGGCACGACGAGGTCCTGACAGAACTGGACAAGGCCACCAAGCGCTGCAGGAAGCTGGAGCTGCTCTACAAAGAGTTCGAGCTCCAGAAGGTCTGCTACCTGCCTCTCAGCGCGTTCCTGCTGAAGCCCCTCCAGCGGCTGGTGCGCTACCGCCTGCTGCTGAGCCGCCTGTGCCAGCACCACCCACCCGGGCACCGGGATCATGCCGACTGCCGCGGTGAGTGGGGCGGGAGAGGCCCCTCTGCTGGTCCACCCAGGAGAGCCGCAGAGTGGTCAGTGGTCCTCTCTGCAGCTGGAAGGGGATGGGGGCAGGCCTCTACAGGCAGGTGGCCCTCCTCCTGCTCCACCAACCACAGGCCCTTCCCAGCCCAAGTGTCAACGGCGCAGAGCCACGGGGTGTGGGGCCACAAGGGGACAGCCTAACCCAGGGCCCCAGAGCCACCAAAGGTGCACAGCCACACACCCCGCAGAGTGGCCTGTCTCCTGTGGGTATTCCTGTCCTGGAAGCCTTGGCTCTGAAACTTGTAGCTTTGGGCCAGGTGACAGCCAGGTGGCGCACATGGACTCCTTTCACCAACACGCCCACGCGCGACTTCTGATCCAGCCTAGATCCAGTGTAGGAAAGCGCCATTGTCGTGACAATGCAGATGGAAAAGGCGGGACGCTTCCTTCTGGCCACATGGCGTCAGCAGGTGCCTCCCGATGAGCCAGGGGAACAGACTGCAGGAGTGGGCAGTCCCCCCTCTTGGCCTGCTGAAAGGAGAAATCAGATGTGTCTCCCTGCCGTGACCCCAGGTGCTGGCAGGGTGGTCCTCTGCAGGAGGCATGCCCCGAGGGGAGGCCCAGGCCAGGCTCTGGTCGTGCCCATCGGCCGTGTCTGGAGAGCAGGCCCAGGTGTGCCTGTGGACCAGCAGCCTTGCGGGGCCTTGCTGAGAACTTGTATTTGGAAGAGGGGCACCTTTGGGGCTGGAGAAGCGGCTTGTGGTTTCAGAGTGCGCAGTGTGTTGACCTGTCAGGGATACAGCGTGCTGGCCCTGTGGCTGCTGGGGAGGCACAGTGACCGGGTCTGAAGTGTGTGTCCGGCTTCCGGCAGCTTCCAGTGCCAGCCCAAGGGCAGCACAGAGCCCAAGCAGCAGTCCTAGCCCTCAGCCTTGTGTCCTCTAGATACAGCATCTGAGAGCAGGGCGGCCTCTGGGTCCTGTCTAAGGCAGGCTCATAGGCCTGGCCTATGAGCTTCTGTGTCTGCCTCTGTCCACTGAGTGGCCCCATCACACTGTGGCCTCTGTCCACTGAGTGGCCCCATCACACCGTGCGCCTAGAATAGGTGCCCCAAGACATCATGGCAGTGCTGCCAGGGATGGGTGTGGGACCGGGAGTGCAGGGACCCTGTCTGACCTGCCACAATCGTCCTGCATGGTCACCACCTGATGCCCGGTGCCCCTGGCTGCCTCCCATGCAGCTGCTCAGCATGCTGTCAGACTGCGCATGTAGCCCGCCTTGAACCCGGAGGCTATAGAGCTAAAGAGGCCAGGGGGGAGCTGCGGCCCAAGCTGACTGGGAGGGGAGCTGGGAGCGTGGCCAGTGCAGACGCCAGCTATGGGCCCTACACTTGAGGACCATGCTGGCACCCCTGCTGCTTGTCCCTGTCCTGACAGGAGACGGCCTCCCCAGTGCCTCCCTTTTAGCTGGCTCTCTCCTCTGGAAGTGTGGGCAGCCGTGCGGAGGAGCTGGGTGAGGCTGTGGACCTTGTCCTGCCACAGGTGGTGGGACCCTGAGGGCCGTGGCCAGGCAGGAAGAGGTTCCTGCAAAGGGGAGGGGTCCCTGTAAGGGACGGGTATCACCATGCTCCTGGTAGCAGTAGCCAGAGAGCAGGACTAGGTCAGCGGCAGCTCTGGCCGGCACAGCTGAGTGGCTGCTCTTCTGGTGGTGTCTAGCCAGCGTCCATCTGACGTGCTGCAGAGCCCTCGGCACCGCTCCTAAAGCCTGTTCTTCCCCACTGAGCAGCGGTGGTGGCCGGCCCTGTCGGGGGAGCATGCTGAGGTTTCTGGGGTGTCTGCAGGAGTCTGTGCCTGCTGGGCAGGTGCCTGTGGCCGTGGGCAACAGTCCCTGAAGGGGGCTGAGGAGATGTGCCCCAGATTAAAACTGCCTTTTATATGCTTACTCCGCACACGGGAGTAGTGGGGGGCTTCGTCCACACCACTCTGGGGCCTGCGCTTAGGACCCTCTCCTTGCAGACGCCTTGAAGGCCATTACAGAGGTGACCACCGCGCTCCAGCACAGCCTCACCCGCCTGGAGAACCTGCAGAAGCTGATGGAGCTGCAGCGGGAGCTGGTGGGCGTGGACAGTCTCGTCGCCCCCGGGAGGGTGAGTGGGAGCTGCCTGCTGTGTTCCACCTGAGTGTTTGTCCAGGGACCCAGCGGCCTCCCTCCAGCTGGCCAGGTCTGCGGTCTTCAGTGTGTTCACTAACTCAGCACTCACTCGGCACCCAGCAAGTGTGCGCAGCCCCGGGCAGTGGGTCACCCCGCTCTAGGAGCTGCCATGTGGAAGGGTTGACCACAGGCACCACGAGGGGGCCAAAGGGGAGGTGGGCAGGTCGGAGCCACACAGTGCGCCTGCTGCAACTTCCTAACAGCATGGCCCTAGGAGTCAGTCAGAGGGCACCATGGTCAGCTGTGCTCCTGGCACCTGGTAGCGGGCTACATGCGCAGTCTGACAGCATGCTGAGCAGCTGCATGGGAGGCAGCCAGGGGCACCGGGCATCAGGTGGTGACCATGCAGGACAATTGTGGCAGGTCAGACAGGGTCCCGGCACTCCCGGTCCCACACCCATCCCTGGCAGCACTGCCATGATGTCTTGGGGCACCTATTCTAGGCGCACGGTGTGATGGGGCCACTTAGTGGCCCTTCCTGTAGGTTCCTGCCCTCTGCAGCGTGTCTGAGCCTCATTCCTTGCTGAGGCCCTATGTGCAGGCCTCCTCTGCAGGACATTGCTATGGACACCCACATGTGTGTGTGGGGGGGGTCTACGTGTGGACGTGTCCTCAAGGCTCGACGCACACCTCCAAGTGCAGCTGCTGGCCACCTGACAGGGCTGTGTGGCGTTCGCGTGCCCGAACGGGCAGTGAATGCAGCAGCCCGACCTCTGGCACCGCTCTGTTGGGCTGCCGAAAGGTGGGGTGGCCCTGCCAGGGGGCCTCGCCCAGGGGGCTCAGCGCATGCCGTGGGCTGTCTTTCAGGAGTTCATCCGGGAGGGCTGCCTGCACAAGCTCACCAAGAAGGGCCTGCAGCAGAGGATGTTCTTCCTGGTAGGTGCCCCGTGCCCGTTGGAGCCGCATCCCCAGCCCGAGTCACACCTGGAGAGGAATGGGTGCTGCTCTGCAGGGAGGCTGCACTGTCAGCAGCCTGTGCACCTGGCCGTGCAGGGGTTTGGGGATGTCCCAAGGGGGAGGAGGCCTCCAGGCCAGTCCCTTTCTGTTCTCGTTCCGGGCAATCAGAAGCCAAAAGGTGGGACAATCCAGGCCCCTGTGACTGTAGGGTGTCCTACAGTCTGGTGGCGAGCAGGAGGACGCAGTGCTGACCCAGAAGCACTGTCTTCGTGAGGCCTGAGGACCCGCCAGCTGTCCTTGTTCCCACCAGGTCTCCTTTGTTGTCCTGCTTCTGGATCCAGCTGGGGATGCCCACATCACCATTGGGCGGGGAGCTGCCTGTCAGCACCTGCCAGAGCCCTTGCTCTCGGCCCTCAGGCAGCCTGCTCCTGTGCTGCTGGGTCAAATGAATGAAAAAACGTGTTTGCCCTCCAAAATACCTCCTGCACTCAGCCTCTATGCTGGGGGCCAGGACAGGTTGCCCTGACCGATGATCACATGGTGGCCACCCAAAGTCCACTAGAGTCTGACCATGAAGACATTAAAACTTTATCTCTTTTTTTTAATCAGTCCTTGTCTAAGGCTTCCTGTCCTCAGTTCTCAGATGTGTTGCTGTACACAAGCAAGAGTGTAGCAGGGACCAGCCACTTCCGGATCCGGGGTCTCCTTCCACTCCGCGGCATGCTGGTGAGTGACACCAGGCTGGCCCAGGGCACAGGGATGTGCCCACACCCTGCCTGTCTCACGGGGCAGCAAACCCAGGGGCTGAGCCCTGCTGGGCTGCCCTTCTTGGTTCAAACCTTCGTGGCACCTGGGCTTCCGCAATGACCCGGGGTTCCGCCCTCCAGGTGGGTCTTTCAGCCCTTGGCAGGGCAGCCTGTCCTGGCTCCCAGCACAGAGCGGGCCTTGGTGGCCACTGCCTGTACACACACACGCAGCGTGCACAGCCTTCCTCCAGAACTGGGAGCCGCCCAGCTGCCCTTAGCACCCTTCCAACAGTCACAAGCTGTGTGTCCACACCCTGGCTGGACACCAGGCTATTGGTGCTTCCGTCCATGTCACCAGTGTGCTTCGCCCACCCCTAGCACACTCCTGGGCTGGGACAGCCACTGGCCATTGATGCTGCTGTACTGTCTGCCAAGAGGAAAAGGCCTCATTTCAACATGGTCAGCATCTGCCTGGTCCCGTGGGGTTAGTGCTCTTGGTGGCTGACTCTCGAGAGCCTTGTTTGGCGCCGTCAGTCACAGGCTCTGGAGGCTCCCTTGCCTTGTGGGTCCCGTGTGCGCCTGCCCCCGTCTTGGGAGTGGGAAGGACCGGCAGCCAATGTCTGTGCTCTGCCAGGAGCACGTACCCAGCCCAGGACACTCCCTCAGTGACCTCTCACCTGCAGACCTGCTTCGCCACCCAGGTTCATCGCTCTGCCCCAAGGCAGCCCTGCAGTAGGTGTGTGATGCCTGCTGCCCACCAGGGGCCGCTCAGGGACTGGGTCCATGGGTTTAGAGTTGACTTTAAACCAGACTTTGACCCAGTCATGTGGGAGGCTGAGGCAGGAGGATCACTACTTCTAGGCCAGCCTCAGCAACTTAGTGAGACTTTGTCTCATAGAATAAAAAGGGCTGGGATGTGGCTCAGTGATAAAAGTGCCCCTGGGTTCAAGCCCTAGGACTTAAACAAATGAAGCACTTTTATCATAGAAAAGATAACTGGCAAGGCAAGATAAAACCTCTCAACACTTGGCCCTCCAGGGGCCACACGTGTCCACGCTAGTCTCCACAAGGTGGCCCCTCCTGCAGGAGGCTTATGGCCCGAGTCACTGCCCAGTGGCAGCACAAGCCTCTCCCCACACTCTGTCCTCTCGCACACAGTGGGGTCGGTGCTGACTGGGAGCACACCAAGCGCACTTAGCTGGCCCCCCATCCCGGGCACCAGGCGTAGCTGGCTCTCCAGAATGGTGAACAGCACTGTGGGGGCTCTCCCACACCTTAGGGCATCCTCAAGGTCCCACAGTGGGGGGGCACTCGGCAAGGTCTTGGTGCGTCTCTGCTTGTCACTGTAGGGCAGGGACCCTGGTGGCCGGGTCCACTAACACGGTCTGAACATGTGCCTGCTCACAGCCTTAGAAAGTGCAGTATCACTAGGCCCGAGGGCCTCGCCTGGCACCCCAGCAACCCCTGAGGCTGAGCAGGAGCATGATGGTCCCAGGCTAGCCTCTGTGACTTAGCGAGGTCCTGTCTCAAAGCATGAGATGGAGTGAGGGAGGAGCTGGCCCAGTGGAAGAGTGCCCCCCCAGTCAAACACCCAGCACCAGAGGAAAAAAGCAACAGGCACGGAGGTCCACCCCTTTGCCGCTGCCCTCTGGCAGGTTGAGCAGCCATGGGCAGTGCTGACCCACACCCCGCTGGCACTCTGCCCTGCAGCACAGCTTTGCTTTCTGTGAGCTCTCGGCTGCTGGGGCAGCCTGTGGCCGCCGCCTGGCCAGGCTTCAGGCTGCACGTGCTCTGCCGCTCAGCACTTGCTCTTAGCCGAGTCTGCAGTCTGGTTTTGCCTTACCCAGCTGACTCCACCCTGCTGGTGGCCTGTCCGTCCTAGAACAGCATCAGGCGCCTGGAGGGCAGCACAGGGCATGCCCAAAGAGTGAGGGGAGCTCCTGAAATGCCCACACCCAGAATGCCCCCTGCCATTGAGTAGGCTCCTGTCGGTGGCTGTTCTCCTCCTCCCACTGACGCAGCTGGAGTCCACTGGACAGGCGGCAGACTGGCCCTCCAACCTCCCTCTCCTGTGTCACACGGGAACTTGCTCTCGTGCCCTGGCTCCTTCTGGCAAGCTGTCCTGTTCTCTGCCCTGTCCCGCCACCCACCTTGTCCCCATCAGTGCTGTCCCCTAGCATCTCTCCGACCCCATCCCTGCCATGCCATCCCTTAGTTGTTCCCCCGCCACATCCCCATCCAGGCTGTGGCCCGTACTGTCAGTGGTCACCATCCTGCCAGCCACCGTGTGCCCCTGCTCCATGATGGCCCCTGGCTTGACAAAGTCACTGTTAGTCATGTTGGTGACTTGCCTGTCCGGAGATCCCAGCAGGAGTGACAACAGTGCTGGTGTGGCCTGGGTGTGCTCCTCAGCCTGGGAGACTGCTCTTACTCTGCCTTCTGACGGGATGGACGCTGTCCCCAGCCCCTGGTGTAGACCGTCAGCACCCCTGGATGACCTTGCCTTCCTGGGAGGGTGGCTGTGTCTGCTCTCAGGCTTCTCCTGGTGATGTCCATTTTGGAATCATGTCCTGGGGTCACTTGCCCTGAAGCTGCAGCAGGCTTCTCCTTGCATCTGACCTTGTGAGGTCTGTGAGGTCTGTGAGCCGCAGCATCTTCCTGACAGTGAAAAAGCTCAACGCTTCTCCTTTGCTTGATTTTCAGCTGATAGTGCTGGACCCACCGGTAAGTACTTGAGTGCCCTCTGGTCCAGAGTTTGTCCTCCTGGGTGACAGCTGCATAGGGTGGGGACACCAGCTGCCACCTGTCACGTCCCTTGTAGTCATGCAGACTTGGACAGCAGGAGCTCCCTGGCTGGTGCCATCCTCAGGTCTGGGCTTCACCGGCCATCCTGGTGGTGCCACCCCAGCCTCCTCTCACCCACAGGTGGAGAGCGAGAGCGAATGGGCAGCTCCTCACTGCTTCACCATTTATGCAGCACAGAAGACAGTTGTGGTGGCAGCCAGGTAAGGGCCTCCTGTGTCCCCTCTGTGCATCGAGTTTCCCTGCTAAGGCCCCTCTGAGTGGGGAGGGTGACCTGTCTCCTCTCTCATGGAGACCAGCTCTGCTTCCAAGTTCTACAGCCAGAGAAGCGTCCTCTCCCAGGGTGCCGTGGGGCCTCCAGGAACCTTCTGCAGGCTAGCCACGGTGCTGCCCCCGACTCCCTGCACCCTGGGTGTTGCAATGCTCAGCAAGGGGGGGCCTCTGAGGGGGACAGGCCAGCCAGCAGGTCTCCATGGCACGAGTGTTCTGGGACCTCCAGCCAAGGGGAAGTGCCAATGGCTGGAGGTGGAAGACCTGGCAGCGTGCCTGTGCCAGGCACTCTGGCACCTTTCCCTGGTCATGGGGCTCTCAGGAGCAGCCCCTCCTGCTCAGCACCCAGGCATCTGTCCTGGGCACATCCCCCATAGGAAGTGACAGCTGAATCAGTGTCAGAACATTGTTCCTGGAACAAACCAGCCCAGTTCAGATCCTCTAGGGCTTGCCCTCCCTCCTCCTCCTCCCTGTGCTCCCGGGGGTTAATTCTGAAAGTGCTCTGGGCTCACAGGCCTGGGACAGGTGCTCCCACCTGCCCTGGCCTCCTGAGCCAGGAGGAATGAGCAGAGCCCACTCCGGCCCTGCAGCACGCGTCAGGAAAGGGAGAAGTGGATGCTGGACCTGAATGCTGCCATTCAAGCAGCCAGGAGCAGCAGCACCCCGTCCCCGGAGCTGCCAGGGGGCATCTTGTGCACGCAAGCCCCCAGTGAGTCATGGCTGAGGACCCTGCCCCCGGGAGCTTTTTGGAAATGGCTTTCCTTGGTCACCATCAACCTGCCGGCCTCCTGCATGCTCCCTTCCACCAGGCAGACCCCACCCACCCAGCTCCAACAGCCCATTCCCGAAGCTGCCCTGGGGAGGGAGGCACCCAACACTGCTGACTCCCCTCAGGGTCCTCTGATGAGACCTCACTGGAGCAGGAGTCTGAAGATGATGCCCGGGGGACCCGAGGCTCCCTGGAGGGGCAGGTCCAGCACCGGGCCAACACCATGATGCACGTGTGCTGGTATCGGAACACGAGTGTGTCCAGGGCTGACCACAGTGCCGCTGTCGAGGTATGGCTGTTGTTAAGACTTCCCCGAGTGCAGGGTTTGGCCACGAAGGGCAGGCCCTCAGGAAGGTCCCAGGTGACCAGGTTTGGCCACAGCCAGCTGCTTCCTGCTTCCTCCTTGGCAGGTCAGCTGGGAAACCTCTCATCCAGTTGAACCCCTCTACTTGTGTCCTGGGGGTGACCCCAGAAGAGCCTCAGGGCAGCAGCCTTGGTGCACTCATGGAGGAAAGCCCTTACTGCCCCAGGACAGTGCCCTCTGGACGCTGGCCCACCCTTCCCCAGGCTGATCGCTGTCCACCTCCTCCTTTCTGTTGGGCTGGGGCCCAGGGACTCCCCCAGGTCACCTGGGTTGTGCCAGAACATGGCAGGTTCTGAGGCCTGGCCCTTTATTGTCAGTATATCAGAGCAGGGTCCTAGCAGGACCTTCCTCCTCCCCCTGAACTGGTAAGCTCCCTGCTGATCTCCAGAAGTTGTCTGTGCAACACAGGCCCCAGAGCCACCTGGGGCAGGAGGGGCAGGGCCTGCTCCTGACCTGGGGGTGGGTGCCTCCTCCAGCACTCAGAAGCACCTTCCAGACACAGCACACCCCAACCCCGCTGTGTCCTCTCCGTGCTGTTGGGTAAATCTATGGACGGCCTGAATGCTGGGGTCACTGTCCCCAGGCTGTGTGTCCTGCCAGTGTCCCTGTAGGAGCCTGGACGTGGCGGGGAGCCAGGTGGGAGGGGCTGCTGGCTGACGTGCCCCTCTGCCCTTTTTTGCTGTCAGAATCAACTTTCAGGGTATCTGCTGAGAAAGTTCAAAAACGGTGATGGCTGGCAGAAGCTCTGGGTGGTCTTCACCAACTTCTGTTTGTTCTTTTATAAGACTCATCAGGTACGTGTGCTCAACAGAGCCAGGGCCCAGGTGGCGCTCGGGTGTTCACCTGGCCTGCCTGGGCTCTTCAGCGTCATCTGCAGAAGAGGGTCTGAAGTATAGTCCTTCAGTCCCCACGATGCAGGAAGCTGAGGCCGGGGGGGGGGGGGGGGGGGATTGCAAGTGCCATGCCAGCCTCAGCAACGTGCCTGGACTGGTCTCCAAGTAGAGATCACAGCCCAATGGCAAAAGCACCCCTGGGTTCTCTGGGGGAGGGAGCAGGGATGGCTAGTTCCCTGGCCTGCGGCTTGTGTGTACAAGCCGTCTCCAGAACCCTGTGCGTCTCCCAGGACGACCACCCCCTGGCCAGCCTCCCTCTGCTGGGCTATAGTGTGAGTGTCGCCCCGGAGGTTGATGGCATCCACAAAGACTACGTTTTCAAGCTGCAGTTCAAGTCCCACGTCTACTTCTTCCGGGCTGAGAGCAAGTATACATTTGAGAGGTGATTTCACAGTGGGAGCATCACCATCTCCTTGTGCCCTGCTGAGGAGGGCTGGCAGGATTCCTAGCTGGCCCTGCTGTCCACTCACTCACTCCATGTTGGGGGCCAGTGGGAAGGGTGTGTGAGCACCAGCCCACAGGTCTGACAGCAGGACCCTCTGCAGGTGGATGGAGGTGATCCAGAGGGCCGGCACCTCACCTGGGCGGCCTCCAAGATTCCCGCAGGACTGTCCATATGCTGCTGCCTCAGGGTCTGAAGGGGCAGTCAGGGAGGGGGAAGAGTGAACCCATCTGGCCTGGACCAGGACCTGCTGTGGAAGGCTGTGGACAGCAGACCCAGCTGGGGCCCCAGAGCTTCCTGCCAGACAGGAGGCAGCACCAACAGCACTGGAGGCCTCAGTGACCCCCTGGCTTTTCCCCTCACAATGCAGTGCAGGCCAGTGGATGGCTGGGAAACAGATGTCTCCATCTCATAGCTTCTCAAAAGGGACACAGAACCCTGCTTGGAGTGTGGGGCAGGGCCCCATCTGAGGGCAGGCCTTGAACAACCAGCAGACAGCCCCACACATGCCTGCAGGCCCTGCAGAGGCCCCAGGCTGGCCCAGGGGTCCCTGCAAGGCTAGTCTAGCAGAGCTGACCAGTCTCTACTCCATGGGCCTCTGGAACAGCAGAGCTGAGCCCCTGGCCCGGGAGGAGTCACATGCCACCTGTTAACTTCTGTGACTGAAGATAAACAGCATCTTCTCACCCGCTTATGCCCTCTGCCTTTCTCTGTTCTCCAGTGGGCCGTGCGGAACTCTGACTCCAGGGAGGGAGAAGGGAGGCCAGCACTGGGGTGGGCCTGGGGAGACAGGCGGAGGAGCCTGGCCCGGCCAGCCCGCGGCACGACTGCAGGCCAGGTCTTTATTAACAGAGAGCGGCAGGGCCTTCAACACGTACGTACCCTCACAGCACTGAAGGGAACAAGAAACTTGGTTTTCTTAAAAAACAACACATCTGATGACACAAATACTCATGAGGAGACAGCACCTGCCTGGCACCACAGGCAGGTCTAGGGCCACATGGTCACCATGACTCCAAGGACGGTGTGTCCCAGGCTGGGTGTCCTGACACTTCCTGCCCACCTAGGGCTGAATGTGGAGGGCTGGGCCAGCTCAGGGAAACCTGAGATGGCCAAGACAGCCCCACTGGCTGCCTGGTCTCCACGGGCTCCCTGCTGCTGGGTGTAGCTTCAGCCAGGCCAGGAAGGGGGGGGGGGGAGGCGGGGACAGGGTATGGAGCAGGGGGAGGACGACCAGGTGGTGAGGCCTGCAGGCTGGCATGCCCTGACAGTCACAGCACAGCACGAGGGGGCTTCCAGCTCAGCACGGACCTTCTGCAGCTCAGAACAGAGAGGCAGCACCGGCTCTCCACGAAGAGTGACACGGTGCTCAGCGGGTGGACGTCAGGTGGTTCCTGCTGTGTGAGAACCTGCGGAGGAAGGGCCATCACATTACTGCCTGGCCACTTAGACATGCTCCGGGGCCAGGCCCTGGGGCTTTCAGTGCAGTCTGCAGCAGTGCCTCAGGTCTTGGGAGCGGCATGGGCTGGCACAGACCCAGCCCCCAAGAGTGCAGGGGTGGGCATCTCCAGGAGGGAGGGGCAGGGAACAGCTGCCTACAGCGCAACAGTGAGAACCTGGAACCCAGCCCAGCACCTGCTGGGAGGGCCCGGCATGTCCCAAGGCACACCACAGATGTGCCTCAGCAGCAGGCCCCACGGGAAGTCAAGGGGGAGGTCAGAGGTCAGCCACATAACGCCATGCCACCGGGCCAGGGACTTTGTCCCAGACATCAGACCATGAGGCTAAGGGTTGAACTTTGGGTGCCAGACAGCTGCCTGGCCTCTCCAGACCCATGAGCACAAACTAGAAAGGACAAAGGCCACCCCCCTGGGCAGCTCACCTCTGCACTCGCTCCACCAGGTGCACCACCAGCTTGTCGGAGATGCCAGGGCAGGACTCCTCAGCCAGACTAAAGGCGTTCTCCAGCTCCTCCAGGGCACCCACGCTCCCGCCACTCTGCTTGTGCTTCTCTTTGAGCTGCAGAGAAACCTGGTCTGACTGGGGGCCTCGCCTGGAACCTGCACGGAGTCCCCAGCAAGCTAGGGGTGGCAGTGTGGCCTTCCCCGCTGAGGGACTCCAGTTGCCCTTCCACAAGGCCCACCCTCCCGCTGTGCTCCAGGGAGTCTTGGGCCTTGGTTCTCAGGAGGGAATATGTGGCTTCCTCCCAGCTGTGGTCACAAACGCAGTCATGTGGGTCCAGTCTGATGGGAAAACACGCTGCCCAGCCACCATGGGAACAGCAAGGCCAGACCCAGGCAGTCTGCAGGTCTGCGACACACCCCCACCTGACCCTGGGGCCACAGCAGCAGTTATCATGGGACCTCCAATCCCAAGGGGCCTCCTTACCCAGGTCACCTTGCCGTGGGACTGTGGGCTGGACCAGTTCCCCAGGACACACGCGAGAGACTGCACCTATGTGACTCACGTCACTGCCCCGGCTGTTCCTGTATTCTCACCAGTGTCCCATCCTCCCTACCTGGACTCCACCTGTTGCTGTCACCCCAGGGGTGGTAATTGGTGCTCTTGGGAAGGCAGGTCTGAACCCACCTGAGTCCCAAGTCCAGATTTGGGGGTGGGGGTCCTGGCTACATTCTATTTCTGGAGATGGCTCTCACCTGCCACCAGCAGGTGACACGTGTAAAGACACACCAGAAGTCACATGGCTCTCAGGTGGGCCTGACCTTGAACTACCCCAATCCTTCCCTATCTCCTGTGTGTCACAAAGTCATAGGATGTGCATCCTGTTCAAAGCCACCTGGGATGCCAGAGGGCCTCAGCAGGTCTGGGGACACAAAGGGTCTTTCCAGGGCAGGGCATTGTCAGCGGTCTGTGGTCCTTCCACTATGAATCCCGACCCATAAGCCTAACCACCATCAGCTGCCAGAGACCTGGAGACCAACAGGAGGAAACCCCAGCTCTAGCCGGTCAGGGCCCCACTCAAAGGTGCTCAGGACAGGTGTCTGGGAACAAAACCGTGGCCCTGGGGGACCCAGCCCAGCCCTACCCTCACCTCTCCAAATACAGGCCGGACCAGCGTGGACAGGCTCTGGGACCTTGGCTGTCTCTTGACAGGCTCTGCAGGCTGAGGGCAGAGACATGGGGTGGGGTCAGGCAACGCTCCAGTCCAACCCACTGTGGCCTCCTCAAGCAGCTCACTTGGGCCCCGTGGAGGCTGACCTCCCTGGAGCCCCACTCCAAGCCCACCCTGTACCCCTACCACATGTGGCTCTGACACAGCTGGATGGGGTGGGGTGGAGGGGTGGGCCGCAGCCCCCAGGGCCAGGCCAGGACAGACCTTCTGGGAGCCATGCAGGGCGGTCCCCTTGTGCAGCTTGCCATGTGGGCTCGGCCTGATGGTTGGGGGGAACGTCCAGATGGGGCCCTGCTCCCCGTCCTCAGCCTCGCCATCACTAGAAAGAGGGACGAGTCAGGAATGACCCAGGTGCAGGGAGGGACCTCCAAGGTCTCAAGTGCCTCTCATGTTTTCTGAGGCAGCCCAGAAGCAAGTCGACGTGGGTAGCTCTGCCCAAGCCACCCCAGGCAGGTGACCCAACAGGCCATTTCCTTTAGCCCAACACCAGACCCAGCCCCAGCAAGCCGCCCAGGTCTTGCTTCTCGAGTGGAAACCCCCTTCCCTCCAAAGCACCCAAGGCTATGGGGCATGAAGGCAGCGGACAGCTCTGGGGAGTGGGGCCCCACATGTCAGAGTCCTCGGAGCTTGACTCTTCGCCATGCCCCTCCGACTTCCAGCGCTTGTATCGGTCAATGAGCTCAGTGAGGAAGGAGGTCTTCTTGGTGTAGCGAGTGATGAACTTGTGCTTCAGCAGCTCCTTGGCTGTGGGCCGCTGGGGGAGGGAGGGCAGTCAGTAGGCGCCATTCAACTCCTCTCAGAGGAGGCAGGGGGTGGGCTGTTCCACTGCCCCTGCCCACCTCGAGCCCACATCCTCCCTCCACAAGTGCCCCAGAGCTGTGAGGGCCGGGCGGGGGTCAGGCCTTACAAAACGGGGGTCCTTATTGAGACAGGCCTCCACGAACTCCTTGAAGGGCTTGCTGTGGTGGCCCTCCAGTGTGGGCGGGCTGTTCTTAGGGATCAGGAACAGGACGCGCATGGGGTGGAGGTCAGAGTTGGGTGGTTCCCCCTTGGCCAGCTCGATGGCCGTGATGCCCAGGGACCAGATGTCAGCCTAGACAGGGCAGCACACGGGACAGTGGCAACATGAGGCACCCGTGGGGCTGCAGTGCCCCCCCACCTCCCTACCTACTCCTACTGCGCCACCTTGAAGTCGTAGGCTGACTGTCTGATGACCTCAGGTGCCATCCAGAAGGGAGTGCCCACGAACGTGTTCCTCTTGATCTGTGTGTCTGTGAGCTGCCCTGCCACCCCGAAGTCCGCCAGCTTCACGTCACCTTGCTCCGACAGCAGCACATTGGCAGCTGCTCAACACAGGGTAGTGGGCATCACCCTGGGCTCCACAAGGGCCCAGGAAGCCCTGTGCACAGCCACCTAACAGGTGCCGGGGGACCTGGCCCTGGGGACCCAAGTCTTCCCTGCCACTCTCAAACCAGGCCACCTTGAGCCCTGGAGCACTGAAGCAGGAGCCCACAAGCCAGGAGTCCACCCTGAGCTCCATCCCTCAGGTGTCTGGCTCTTGTTCAATGAGAGGCTTATGTCAAGCCTGTTTTTCAACATAAAGGTGGTCACTCCCTGCGGTCAACCTGTAGAAATGTTCCAAATATTCTGGCCAACTCCTTTTTCCCGGGTGATGGGGACAGGAAAGAGAGATTGATAGCCATGGTACATCCCAACACCTGTTTAGCATGGTTGGATCAATGCCCCCACTCAGAAGCTATAAAATCCCCTAGACTGTAGGTTTAAGTGGCAGCCCTCGCACGTCCCCGCTTGCCCTGTGGGAGTTCTGCCTCTTTTTCTTCTCACTTGAATAAACTCTACTCTTTTACGCTTACTTTTCCTCATCTGTGGATTTAATTCTTCTAATCTGCAAGACAAGAACCCCAAGAGAAATTGGCTTGGTGGTGAGCTGCAAGGGTCCGCTGCTGGACCCTTGGGTATGGCCCACCATTAAAAGCTACAGGCGCCACTCCACAGTAGTGAAGAAGAATCTGGTTTTGCCAGCAGGCATCCCCTGCTGCAATTAGCTGCTGAGACTTAAGCAGGGAGTCCTTGGCTGCAGAGGCCTGCAGCTCACCCACCAACAGAAGCAGAGAATCTAGTCTCAAAAATCTGGTTTTACTATGTCGAATTCCAAAAACAAAGCAACTCCCCCGTGGGCTCCTGTGAGTGACCCCAACCCAAAGAACAGCTGACATGGGACAAGCAGGAGGCCCCTCACTCTGCTAGCATATCCACCATATAAAGAAAGTCTCAGTACCCTCAGCATGCACCTCCCTGCAGAACCAGCTCAACTGGGCTTAGCAAGAAGGGTCACACAAACATACCCCAGACCACGGGACAAAGATAAACACTCAGTTTACACCAGCCTGCCCTACACTTGGTGCACAGCTGGTCCCTTTCACACGTGAGGATGTGTGACTAAAAGGGCTCTGTTGTGGTGAATGCAGCTCAGTGGTGGAGTGCCTGTCCAGCATGGACAAGGCCATGGGTTCCATCCCCAACACTAGCATCCTC